GTCTTGACATTAATTTTGGATGAACAAATGTACAATTGCTGAAAATGTAACATTATCTCTTGATATCCAGATACCGTAATCGTAGTTAAGCTGCGCACTGACCTGTGGCTTTTCCACGGTTTTCTTATCATGAACAGGTGTGACAGGTCGTCAGGGGAATTAACTATATATGAAGACCAGACCTCTTTGTTATATGGAATTTATTTCACTTGTGAGACAGGATTTTTTTTTTATATTCGCGGGTACGTTAAGGAAGCATAAAAGTCATTTGTCGGGAAATTTAGACTTTTTTAAAAAGAAAATGAAGTTTGATTATTCAACTAAAACCGCTTATAAACGTAAACTAAAACTATTTATTACATAAAGATAAGAGTGTCTAACGCAACGACGTGCACCACCACTACGTCATCATGTGACTTCTATTAATAGCGAAATTTTCCTTAATAAAAAAAAAGCTAACAGAACAACAGTACTCCGGAGTTTTAATAATTTCTTTGAGTAAATAACGTATAGTTGAAAAACATCTATTTTGCCTAAAAAGTGCCGCTAGAATCCCACTGTCCCGTCAGTTAAATAATTATTTCACACATTCGCACGAAACCTTGCCGGATGTTTTGAATTTTTTTTTACATATGAACCGAGAATTTTAGTAAAACCACGCTTAACTCGAGATAGCAGAACTTTCCAAATATTTTAGGAGGCAACTCCATCTGTACAAATATTATGTTTTGAAATTTACAGCTTATTGTTGTTCTGTTGCATGATTTTTGTTACAAATGACAGAGGAAAGACTGACCGGGATACGTTTATAGCCGACTGTCTTCGAAAGAGAATATTGTCGATGAAATAAATTAGCATACAATGTACCTGTTTTATTAACTGAACTCCATTTGAATTTCACAGAATATTCACGATATTTGCTTATATTTATTTGTGTAATCGTGGTCTAATGTTTAATTATGTAATTTACTTAATTCCTATTTTTCATCAAAAGGACAAAAAACTCCAAATGCAATAAACTATATTAATTTGAATTCTTTAGTGACTCATGGTAAGAACTTCCTTAAATGTGAGAAAGCCAAAAAGTACTTTAGTATATCTAACTATTCAGGACTAAAAGGAGCTGAGATACAAGCATTCAGATTTATCAATGCATAGATCTACATGCACATTCAACTTTTAATTAACAATTCTGTTGTTGTGGGTATGAACATGAAGAATATGCAAAACTTCCAACATTAAAGATTATGAAAAATATTAAGCAGAACAAACGCCTGTTTGGGTGCAGATCATGAAGTGTACTAAGCTCTACAGATATTTGTGTCCAGTGCACAATAATCCTGACTTCCAAATTCTCACTTGACTGGTGATATCTTTAGAAAAATTTGCATCTAGGTTTAAGTTGACTCCACAAAATATGCCATCCCATTGTTTAAGTTTTATTAAGTGATTACACTCTCTTTACTAGATATCGCGGATTCAACAATACCCTAATATACAATGTACTCGATTTTACGAATAATACCCAATTTAATTGAAAATTATTCCCGTTTACAAGCATTCACCCATTCTTCACACTTTTTCAACATCTCTCCAAGGTTTGGAAAAATCTAATAAATTCAACTCCTTGTATATATTTTTGTGGGCATACTTTGAGTCACTATTCCAGATTCCAAGACAACAGTGTTTTATTGCATCCTTTTTTGCACAGGTTAGCCACAATATTACTAAATTTACACCACAAAGTAAGAGCCAAGCCAATCTTTTGGTCATGTAAACATGTAAACATGTGGGTCATTTTGTCCCATCTATATAATTTGCAAGCTCTTCAGAATAAGGAATTCTAAATATAGATGCAGCAGAGATTCCAGTCCTGTGCTATGAGTGGTTTTGTCCTTTTGATGAAAAATAGGAATCTAGTAAATTACAAAATTTAAACATTAAACCACGATAGCATAACTGATCTAGATGTATTTGTGAAATACTCCCCCCCCCCCCCCTTGTGGTAATATAACGAATATAAAACTTTTCTTAAATGCAAATGTAGTATATTGGTACCAAAAGTAGTATATTTCACTGGAAAATACAATTGTGAAATATGAAAGTAGGCTAAGGCTAAAGTTACTCCATAAGTACGGAAATGTCCAAGGTCAAAAGGTCATGATTTTTGGTATGCAATGAAAGGTCTTTCCACAAAGATAACATATGTGAAGTATGAAGCCCTAACCTTTCAAAAGTTATGACAAAGGATAATTTTTTTAAGTAGGTCAAACTCCGAGGTCAAATGTCTTGCTATCAAATAAAAGGTTTTGTCATAATGATTGAATATGTAAAGTATGAAAGCACTAACCTTAAACCTTTATAAGTTATGATCAAAATTTGCTTTTTAAAAGTAGGTCAAACTCAAAAGCCAAAGGGTCAATGTTCTTGGTATCCAATGAAGGCTCTTCCCACAAGGATTACATATATGAAGTATGAAAGCACTATATGACCCATACCATTAAAAAATTATGGCCAAGGTTAAAGTTTTTTCATAAGTTTGGAAATCTCGAAGGTAAAGGACAAAAAGTCAAGTTTGTTAGTGTCCAATGAAAGGTCTTTCCACAAAGAATACATATGTGAAGTATAAATGTCCTGGTATCTACTGTTCAAAAGATATGGTCAAACACCCTTAGGCAAATGTTAGTTCAGAATATGAATAAAAGAATTTCCAAAGAAACAAACAATCATGTCCATTCCAAGCCTCTGTCTATCAGTACTTTCAGTACTTTGATTTTTCGTAATACATGTATTTTTTATAAACTAATTTATACACAAAGAGATAAATCCTAAAAAAAATGAATTAACTGCGTCAAACATGTGGTTATTAACATTACTATACTGTAAATATTTATGTTTTATGAAGTTTTAACCCTGTATAATACATAAATTGAAATTGATTTTCTTTATCTTCGTATCACTTATCATACCGTCACCATCAGACTTAGAGCGCACTCAATCATGTCACCAATTATGCCTATATTTTGATAACAGGTGATTTGTTAAAAAATGAATTGCAAGTGAAATCGATATCAAAACATATACTACGTTTTTTTTAACTACAACTACGTGGCATCGGGCAACATTTTTATAAATTAAATATATTAATATATTAAAGAAATATATTTTTCTTTAAATGAAAAATGTTGTCAATAAAAGTAATATAAAATCATGTATATGGTAAGATGAATATGCTGAATAAAAAAATAATTAAGATAAACTGGACCTTTAAATTCAAATAAAGAACCAGTGTTGGCCAGGTAAACGAGAGAAGTTGTAATTACCAAAACTATTGTACCCTAAGTGCCTTAGAAAATTCAAGTATACTGCAAGCCACGTATATTTATACTGAAATCCACTATTCAAAAAGTTTTGCACACTACAGAGGAAAAGATACATGAGAAGTTAATCTTTTTCAACAAAAATCACTATTATGCCTCGTTATTAAATTGCCTTACACCTATGTTTGTAATAAAAAATTCACATCCCTCCTTGGCCCAAAGTTTATCATTTAAACCGAAATGTACGGAAAACGAATTGAAAAGAAATCAATTTCAGAAGTCGATTTATACAAGACAAATCGGGAAGTGAGTAATTTAAGACCCCCAAGAGCATCAGAGGTTAAATCAGGTATCATGAGGGTATAAGTATCACTATCAACCAGTTTCACCCGCCGTACACTCCTTGTCGTAAACAGGTAAATAGAAAGATCTTTCGACAATCAGGGTGAAAATAATAGCCTAACAATTAGTGAGAAAAACGTCTGTCAGTATTTGACTTTCGACTATAATTATTTTTAGTATTAAAAAGTTTTCGCAATCTTTTCATTTTTTTATTACAATTTTTTTTTAAATTTAGTTTTACAACCAAAAACCGAATTAACTGGTTTGTACTCCTGAAAGCATTATAGAACAGTTGAAAAGAAAGGAACTTTTGATTTTGATTTGAAAAATTGCACTCCTTGGTCGATATAAAGTTGATACAAAGTTTCTATAAAATGAAGTTCCTTGCTTTCAAACAAAATATTTATTTCACACTAAATTGTAAACAGCCTACCCGAGATAGTTACCTATTTTGTGTGGAACACCTCTTTGATAAATTTGTAAGCTTATAATTTTCATATTACTTTTGAAAGCGTTTAATCATTTTTTGGCAATTACATTTGAATTTTTACGATCTTTTAAAGATATGAGTCTAAATACATTGTCAATATACAGTATCAACTAAAATCGATCATTTGTATTGTTTTACCCCCTTTAATTTTTTTCGTCAATCATATTGAGACGTTAGATCAGATGACAACAGTATATGTATATTGAATGTAATAAAAAGTTTTTAAATATCTTATTTACAAACGTTCAATAGAGAGGTCCTTCGGATGAGACGTACCTTTTTAATTGACGTTCCATGTAGCAGTAGGAAATGTAAAAAAAAAACTTACCCCTTCCCGGTCAAGGCCCTGAGTGCCGGAGTAAAAATTTGCAGCCATCTACCGGCAAGTGGCGGAAACAAGAAACAGAACAAAGTTAACGTTAGATGCATGGACTGATTAAGTGGTCATATATCCATTTTGAAGACAAGTTTACAGATAGTATTTATAATTTTTTGCACTTTTTAATTAATACCCCTATCAAAATGGATAATTATTACTAGCAATTAATCATTTTTATCTGCATCGAATTAAAAATCAGCGAAAATGAACTTAACTTCGAACATTTTATGGAAAACATTTATTGGCCTTTTTGCCAAATTTCTTAGATCATTTGTTTCTAAATTTCCATCTCAATCCATTAAATCATCATTCGATTCACTCTAGTTAGCACACGTATTTCTTCGGAATAACATGATAAAATCGTTTTCATTTTGAAAGGAAGCTGTCAGCCACAATAGTAGTCAATCATAATTTTCGCCAATATCTTTTTACAGATCAACTGTCTTTAAATAGGGACTGGGCTCTAGCCTACACAGTCTGTTCTGAGACACCAGCCATAATGCAAACAGGAAAGGTTAGTGAAAATACTTAGATATTTGTTTTGTGGTCTTTGATTTTATTTATTTCTTGTTTTTTGCGTTTCCCTTTTTGACATTATGCATAAACTCTGTTGTTTTATGTTGCTCTTCTCCTGGTTCGGAAAAAGTGCTTTAATTATTTCAATGTGATAGAGTAACATGACAATGAAAGATGTACGTCCACACCTGTGAGACCACTGCAGCAAATTACTAAAAACTGTTAGGAGATCTTCACGATCGGTTAATTTAGCCCCGGGGTGTCGGTATACAGACTGTGAAAAAGAAATATTGCGGACAAGGTCTTTTATGAATAGTCTTGAGCTTTAATTTACTGGAGATCTCCAGAAAGGCAAATTTCTCCTGAAATATTTTGATACAAATCATAAACAGAATTGAACATTTTCTTTTGTCAGAATGCTGCTCATTATTGATACGAAAATATAACGAACTAGTTGCAATGACGTTTTTGTCAAAATAAATGGTTCTATATGCATCTATTATATATCAAAATATTTCTTATGAAAAACCAAGTCAGAAAGATTTCAATTTTATTGATGAAACTTAATATTTTTGTAAAACTTGGGGTCTTTAAAGTTTAACGTTAAGCTAATTTCATTATAGCATCAAACATTTGGATTTTGACTGAACACATGTTCATGGACACACACTTAATTTATTTTTTAAGACGCAACACACTTCCAAGTGACGTGCTAGCAGTAATCTTTAAGTATAGATAAAAATTAGTTAATTTTCAAAATCCAAAACAATGCACAAAAATTTACGAGCGTCATCAATAAAAACAGTCATAAACTGCAAAGCCTAGTCCGGTGCTGCGCTAAATATATAACAACGTCATGAATAGAAATCTCCATATTCAGTAAATAACATTGTGTTTTTAAATTCTTTTAGTGTCTTCCAAATTTGTTCACACCGTTGAAAAATCGTACATACCAATCTTACATTAACACACAGAATAAATTTCGATAATTGTATTAAGATAAATTTTGTCTCTTACTATGTTTCAACCGTATTAACACATTTTTTTGATCGTACACTGCCCCGTTAGGACGGCCGTCGTCGCCTTTTCTTTCGAGTATGACACATATTTGTTAGGGTATGTGTTAAGTATTTGAACTGTCTATATAGTAAGCGATACTTAAGATGTCATAAAATGATTATAGTCTCTTTATTTGTGTAACATAATTTAAGCTCACCTGAGCCGAAGGCTCAAATGAGCTTTTCTGGTCACATTTTGTCCGTCGTCCGTCTGTCTGTCCGTCCGTAAACTTTTCACATTTGAGACTTCTTCTCAAGAACCATTAGGCCAATTTTATCCAACTTGGTACAAAGCATCCTTAGGTAAAGGGCAATTGAAAAAAAACCACTGGGCCAGAAAAGCTGCAACTTATGTGGAAGCATCCTGGGGTAGTGAAAATTCTAAATTGTTCAAATCATGACCCTCAGGGGTAGGGCAGGGCCATCATGGGGAATAAAAGTTTTACATAGGAATATGTTGGAAATTTTTTTTTGAAAATCTTCTTTTCAAGAACCACTAGGCCAGAAAAGCTAAAACTTATGTGGAAGCATCCTGGGGTAGTGTAGATTCTAAATTGTTCTAATGATGACCCCCCAGGGGTAGTGCGGGGCCACCATGGGGACTAAAAGTTTTACATAGAAATATATAGAAAAAATTAAAAATCTTCTCAAGTATCACTGGGCCAGAAAAGCTGAGACTTATGTGGAAGCATCCTGGGATAGTGCAGATTTCAAATTGTCTAAATTATGATCAGTGGAGTAGGGTAGGGTCACAATATTTATTTCAAGGTGGAAATCTATTAAAGAACAAAATGGTCAAAGCTTCTCAGGTGAGCGATGTGGTCCATGGGCCTCTTGTTATTTTATTGATTTTTGATTTTTTATATAGAAAATAATCATTTTAATCTGAACACTTTATGTCAGAGTTTATATCATTTTAACCTTGAACCGTGCGCATTATATGCTATCTTTATGTTCTATCAATAAAAATTAAATCATTCTGACTTGTTTTTTTTTCATAAGAAATATTTTGATATACAACAGATATACATAGAACCATTTATTTTCAAAAACGTCAAAAAAATTCACAAAAACGTCATCGGCCACAAATTTTTTGCATGACCCTCGTATTTCATCTTTTCAGATACTTCTTGTTTTTTTGGTCGGGTATATTACAAGTCTACAAGCTGAGACCCTGACAAAAAGATCGAACACGCCCTGTAAGTCAACCAAATCTTTTGGAAAAAGATTAAATAAAAGTGATAAAATACATGTATATAAATCGTAACAGTTTTAAAAAATCGTCTAAAACTGAAATTTCTTATCAATGTTTTATTTTAAACAATTTCTGTTTCTATGCATCAGTATGTTGCCCGCGTGGCACAGTGATTAGAAGGTTTATTCTTCTTGAATTGCGAGTTTGAATCCCTATTAGGACGTTGAGATCTTTCCTTTGGGTGAGACATATATATATATATATATATATATATATATATATATATATATATATATATATATATATATATATATATATATATATATATATATATATATATATATAATAAAATATATAAACATAAAGGACAATGATAATACAGAACAAAAAGAAAGGGTTTCCAAAAGGATTTCGAAATTCTTTTTGAAAATACGAGGGACGTTCAATAAATAATGTCATTAGCTCGATGATATAAACATAGAAATCATTTGACATTAAACTAGATTTTCTCTCATTATTGAATCTTTAATGAATTGATAACAGTTTTTGTGACCACTTTTCATCACATAGTTTCATCGTGAGAAGCTGGGAAACAAGGGCTATTCGGGACACTGCATTATAAATGAATGGTAAAGAATCAGTAAACTAGAGTAAAAATAAAAGCTTCATTAAAGCTGCTGTAAAACGTGTTAAAATCCCATTGAAATTTTCACTGAAATATGTGACATTTACATCAACCAATGCCTGTTTTATAGACAAATAAGCAATTGAATTTCAATGATAAAAAATTATATAATGGGCATCAAAAATGGGTACCGTCCTTGCCAACAAAAATTATAGCAACTTATGTACTATTTGCCCAATTTCAACAAATAATATCTGATGATGTATGACTGACTTTAAGACACATAGCAAATTTGATATACATGTACATCATATCGGGAGTAGTTTACAAATGTTTTTTAGAAATGTTTGACGGTAAAAAAGCGTGGTACTCAAAAATCACCCTATATTTTGAAAAATGAGTGAAAACGACACCGTGTACGAATGTCTTAACAATTATTTTAAAATATCAGTAACTGTAGTTATCCAAGTTAATGGATCATGAATCTATTGCTCAAAACACTCAATACAAAATTTACCATAAGATGTACGGTGTACTTGATAAAAACAGCAATGGTCCGACAAGAGCAAAGGTATGCAAGAACACAAAGACAGATTTATATGCAATTTTCTTAAATATTAGTGGTACTGTTGTTCAATTTCGTATTCAGGGAGACAGTTTAATTTTTGGAGGAGTCTAGAAAACAATCTTTTTGCAAAAATATCGAAAAGAATGACTTAGAATCAGTAATCTACTACATTAAATTTCTTCATGACAGCGTCCAAACCCTGCACCCCTGAAGAGTAAAGGGGTTTTTCGGAATAAAAAGAAAGTTAATATTTTTCACATTAACAATATTCGCTAGATCTTTTACTTTTAGACTTGTTTCTATTTCGAAACTTGAAAAACCACCTTTCAGAAAGAAAAAAAAACAAATCCAGGAAATCATTGGATCTGCTATTTTCCAGTATACTAAGGGTCATACCCAAAAATGTGTTCTAAATACAATCAGAAATTAAATAAAAACTTTAACGGACATTTATTTTAATCAAAAGAGATTAATAAGTAAAATCATGAAGACTAAATCGTTAAAAAGCTTCTTTTGCTTCTTTCCGAGCCCCGATGACATTATTTATTGTACGTCCCACGTAAGGTAGTCTGCAAAGTAAATGCATGTAATGTATATATTTTTTCGATTATTTGTATATTGATTTCAGTAGCTGACAGTAAACCTAACACATGTCAAAATGGTGGAACATATACACGGATACAAATATCCACACTACCACGTGGACCTAAGTTCATATGTACCTGTCCTGAGGGGTTTTCAGGGATAGTTTGTCAATGTAAGCATATTTTTTTTTTGAAATGTTATGAGATTTTTCTCTGTTCGTATTTATTGTACACTTATAAAATGAGAAAATCATTACCATCTAGTTACTGAAAATACCTACATAGGTTGACTTCAAACCTTTATTAAAATCATAAAATTACCTTCTATGCTTCATTCTTTCATATTTTGTCGCCTGCATGGCGCAGTGGTTAAAGCGTCTACTCTAAACTCGCGAAGTAAGGAGTCGATCGTTACGTCGAGGGTTCGAATCCCACTGTGGGACATGGAGACCCGTCCTTCGTACGAAACCGTAAAAACCAAGGTCTGTGTCCCTGTAGGTCCTGGCACTAAAAAGATCCCTCCCTGCTCGAAGACCCTAAGTGGTGAGTATAGGGCAAAAATTTGCAGCTCTCCTCTTGCAAGTGGTGGCATCTCCATATGAGTGAAAAATTTTCTAGGGGGATGCTAAACAATATACAATCAATCAATCTTTCATATTTTCAATGTACGTAAATCATGTGGTCTGACGAAATTTGATTACACATTTATTTAAAGAAGATGGCTTTAAATATTTTTCAGGATGAAATTAGAGAGATATACCAATGAATCTTTTTGATTTAAATGTTATTTTTTCTTTAGTCCAAATATGTGACAAAGACGATTGTCAAAATGGAACATTGTGTATTTGAAAATCTCTTAGATTTAGATATTAGTTAGCCCCCTACCTGTGAAACCCGGAGGAAACTATAGATTTCTGTCTGTCTGTCTGTCTATTTGTCTGCAAATTTGTCCGTCCGTTCGTCTGTCTATCTAGTTTTCCGCACTTCATTTAAATGTTTAAATATTTTTTCTTTAGTCCAAATATGTGACAAAGACGATTGTCAAAATGGAACATTGTGTATTTGAAAATCTCTTAGATTTAGATATTAGTTAGCCCCCTACCTGTGAAACCCGGAGGAAACTATAGATTTCTGTCTGTCTGTCTGTCTATTTGTCTGCAAATTTGTCCGTCCGTTCGTCTGTCTATCTAGTTTTCCGCACTTCATTCCTTCATATTTTCAATGTACCTGAATCATGAGGTCTAACGAAATTCGATTACACATTTATTTAAACAAGGTGGCTTTCAAATATTTATTAGCTTTGAATTAGAGAGATATTTTATAACAATGACTCTTCTGATTTAAATGGGTTTTTTTCTATAGTCCAAGTATGTGACAAACACGATTGTCAGAATGGAACATGTGAGGCAGACCAGACTAATACACGTGGTTACAAGTGCAATTGTATCGAAGGTTAAGTCGGGGAGAATTGTGAAGGTAAACTTATTAATTAGAATACATAGTGTATTTGCAATTTGCTTTGCATCTTAAAATTCTCCTAGATTGTTATACCCCCCGCTTGAAAAGCGGGAGGGTGTATAGCAATCGTTAATTCCGTCCGTCCGTCCGTCTGTCTGTCCGTCCGTCTGTTACGCTTTGGGGTAACCATCTCTTATCCGCAACTCCTCTCATACCACTGAATGAAATTTGATGAAACTTTCACAGAATCTTTATTACATATTGCCATTGTGCACCTCCTATTTTACTTTTTGATCCGACACATATTTTGGGTTTCCCGGCCACAGGAAAACATGGACTTTTTCACCAGTTATAACCATATGGGAGGCGGGGGGTATCATTTAGTGAGCCCATCGCTCACAGTACCTCTAGTTTATATTATTTCCTAGTCATCTATCTGTGAAACCGTAGGGGGACTACAGGTTTCCTTTAAGTCTGTCTGTCTCTCTGTCTGGTTTTCCACACATTTTCTAAACGCTTGCAGATATATTAGCTGATTTTTGGTATGTGAGTGAATCTCGATGACGAACAAATCAAGGATGCATTCCGTTCTGCTAATTTATTATACCCCCCGCTTGAAAAGCGGGAGGGTATATAGTAATCGTTAATTCCGTCCGTCTGTACGTCTGTCCGTCCGTCCGTCCGTCCGTCCGTCCGTCTGTCCGTCCGTCCGTCTGTTACGCTTTGGGGTACCCATCTCTTATCCGCAACTCCTCTCATACCACTGAATGAAATTTGATGAAACTTTCACAGAATCTTTATTACATATTGCCATTGTGCACCTCCTATTTTACTTTTTGATCCGACACATATTTTGGGTTTCCCGGCCAGAGCAAAACATGGACTTTGCCATTATAACTATATGGAGGCGGGGGGTATCATTTAGTGAGCTCATCGCTCACAGTACCTCTAGTTTTTGAAGGATTTATGGTATTATCAAATTCTAATGGGAATCAGATTACACTTTAAAGCATGCCTTTAGCGGACTAGTATTGCTAATATAATGCTCCCAGAGTGTTTGATTCTTTACTTCATGTATGTATATGGCTTTCAATATTTATTTACATTTGCAAATATCTTTCTTAGATGAACCTATTGAAGAGAAAATATATTCAATTTTGTGTGAATTTCATTTTAGGGTCAGAGGTCATAGCGCGACCGAATCACAGAGCGACGTGATATTTTTTCTACATATTTTTGTCACAACTTGTTTTGTCTATATCTCGTATTTTTAAGTTTATAACGATGAAAAAAATAAAATATTAAACAATATGGATATTTTCCTATTATGTACAATAAATCGTCTTTCGATGTGAATAAGGTTTTGAATACTATATTTAGGCCTAGCCTTAAATTGCACTTACTTTTTTAACTCGATATTTCTTTGGAGTTATATAAATTAAAACAGGCGATACCACCGATTTTACTTCAAATATTTTAAGAACTTATGAACTAATGTAGTTAGATTATTCTCAGCTGCAATCAATGTTCTTTTACTATTTCCTGAGCTGGACCGTTAAGCATCAATGTAGACATTCAAATGTTGGAGCGAGGTTAACTACTTATAGGTCATTGTGCGTCACACATAACAATACTGCAGCCCGTTCATGTACATGTAATAAATGCAATTTCACTTGAATGTTTTCGTCTCAAATATAAATATAAGTAATAAACAACAATGTTAAAAGTTCTCTTGGAAATGAACTTTTAGTCGGTCACGTAACAATTAAAAGTTCATTTACCCGAGAACTTTTGAACGTTATTGTTTATTTCTTAAATGGTCGAACATTTCTCAAAGGAACGTTTAACAGACAAACATTGCTGCCTAACCCCAGGGATTTATCGTTTCTTTTAATTGAATTCATATCAACATTGTGAAAATCAAGTCTTGTTATTTCTTTGTTCTGTTACTCATTTTATTTGTTTCTTAGATTAAATATTCAACATTTTCCTTCATTGTTTTAATTAATATTGATAAATTATTTATCTACATCCCCAAAGATCCATTTACATTATTTTTTGATCACTTGTCGTCAAGGTTTATTAATAAATTCACAAGAAGAAACTGTTTTAACGTGATAATATCGTGAAAAAAATATAAAGTTCGACAAATGCTGACATGTTTTCCATAATATTGAATCACTTTCATGACTGGTAAGCCTTCGTATATTTTTTACTGTATTTAAAAATTTAAGAAACTTTCATAGAGTAAAAATGAGAACATCATTAAAATAGTAAAGAATAAAGTAAATTATAATTGCCAATTATGTGATGACTAATTCCATCTCAAAACATCAAATGCATACAATTTTCATAAAAATGTTCTTTCCTATAGTGTACCTTAGATGAAAGAGGGAGGGGGGTGACGGTTTACTAAAAGGGAAAACACATTTTACTAATTTCTGCTCCTATCAGTACTTACATTAGAAAAATAAAAAACCATCAAAATTTAAGTTTGTATAGAAAATCATACTTATTTCTCATTTTGTAAAGTTTTTCTCTATTGATAAAATTAAAGTTTGCTGTCTCGCCAAAAATACCGTCCATCCTAGATTTCTAATTCGCTTTACCAGTCTAGACGAACACCAAAAACGGCGTTAATGGAAGTGAGAATTTCAGTCCAGAAAAGACTCCAAAAAACGTGTCCACGCATGCGCAGTTATATAAAAAAAACGGTGAAAAATCATGAAAAGTGGGCTCTTATAAAAAGTGTTTTTGCAAAAAATTGGATTACCTTACAATAATGTAAGTTCTCAGAAATGACTTTAAATAAATGTTTTTAGAGAACGTATTTGTTAGAATTTTGATTTCATGTGCAAATAGTTTTTAATTTCAAGTCAAAGTTGACCAACTTCGAGGTTCAGCCAGACCTCGTACAAGTAGGATACAAAATACAAATTAAACATTCTTAAACTTATAAAAACATCTCTGTGGTTGATAATTTGTCTGCAGTGAATAAGTTTTTCATTTTATAACTACTTTTACTGATTTTAGAAGTTTTTTTTTTGTAAGTAAGAAACGCTGGCGAATTTTCAGTTCGAATTTCCTCTGTCTTTCATATCTATCATGTACGAATGAATTTCAGCATGTTTAGATAAGCAATGAGCAACTGCATTGTAAATACATCTTACCAATAATTAAAAAAGTACTGAATTGATGGTTTTAATCATAAATAAGAGTCGATCAGGTGACAGTTACATGAGAATCCATTCAGTTTCCACATTTCCTCCGTTGCTCTTTTTGAAAAAAGTTCACGATTCAAGTTAGATCAATTACAAAGAAAAATAAACGTTTGGGAATTAAATATCTGATAAAAGGGAAAAATATGAAAAATTGAAAAATATAATATATATATGTTGTTACTGTTAAATATTGACCGAATTCTTACCCATTTGTAATATTTTTTCGTCATATAATCCTGTATGACATCTGAATTGAGAGCGTTAGTTATCACCATCGCTATTACCTAATGTTATCACATACAGTGTATGAATAGATATAATCATGAAAACATTTTTAGAATTATAATCTATCAGTTTAAGAACTTTTTAAAAAAAATTATTCTTTTAAAATAACGGTAAAAAAAGTCTTCTCAAATCGAACCTGTTAATATCTCTGCTCCGCCGCCAAAATTGTGCGGTTTTTCACCCCCCCCCCCAAAAAAAAACAACATCTAAGTGTCTTAGAAGTAAAATTTAAGCATCTTTATAGTCGGAATGGCATAAAATTTAAATCAAGGGGACAATAAATTAAGTTAGAAAATTAATTCTTACCGACTTTATTGAATCCGGTGTCGTATATCCCAAATCACTATTATGCAAGAATACAGAGCGATAAATAAGTCAATAACCATTAGATAATTTCATTAGTACAATTATTTATTCAACAAAAATTAAAATCCAGTCACAGTTTACTAAATACAGCCATTATTCCATCGTATTTGTGGAGAAAGCGAACGACAATCCATCGTTTGTTTACATCGGAAGCCATTTTGCCGCAATGCATGATGGAGCCAAAGACTTCTTTTTTGGAGTTCATGCCGTTTTTGGAGTTCGTCTAGACTGTTTACCATTTGCGTTTTGAGTCGTTGAACTTTGAAAATTTTTCCATCTAAAACTATTTTACATGAGGAAATATACTCTGAATATTTTATTTAGTCAATAATAAGTTTTTTAGTGATATTGATGTTCAATTAAATTCAAATAGTTTTGCAACAAGAAATGTCTATAAAGTTAAGCGTTCAACGTCAGTTATAATTGAAAATATTTTATCGTCATTTTCTTTTTATGTCTATCTGCGTAAAGTTAACATATTTTTGTGCTAAAATACACAACCTCTTCTTTCATTTCTTTGTTCTCGTTTAGTTTTTTTGCCAATGGATTGTAAGCAAATTCAAGAAAGTGGTCTATCTACTTCTGGTGTGTACCAAATTTTCCCAGATGGGGATCCCTCACTTCCGGTTAAGGTGTTCTGTGACTTGGAAGCGCAAGGAGGAGGGTGGACGGTATTTATTTTTGTAAAAGTGTTCACTTAATATGAATGGGATGCTTACTTATCGCACCTGCTTTCACTTCTAATGTTTTAGAGGTCCATGTTTGCTATGCTGCTTATTTGTATTGTTTGAGTTGATTTTTGAATACTGTTATCATTATATTTTATGAACAATGCATATATTTTGACGTTATCTATGTTGTATGAATATATATATTACCTTCATCAGTACCTGGAAATTATTTTTTCAGTTTATTTGATCCATTTCAATGTTTTAAAAAAGGTTTTCTTTACTTAACATACTGTCATTCAAAACCCGACTAATTGACTTAATTGAGACCCCACCCCACCCCCAA